TCAATAAATTTTCTAGGAACATCCATTAATCAGGCCCGCATTAATTAAGAAGAAAACCTAGTCACGTGACAAAAGTATTGCAGCACTATAAACAAAACGCTTGAATTGCAATGGTGTTTTCTCTTTCTTTCTTTCTTTTTTTGTCTTTTTTTAGTTTGGTCCCTCAAATTGTTTTTCTTTTAATTTAATTATTTGACGTTGAAATTTATCTAGCATTACACTTGGTAGATTGCTTTAGCTGCCTTGGCTAGGAGGTCGTGTGGTATCAAGAAAAATAATATTATGCCTGGTTTATCAAAATTAAATGAAATTTTATTAATTTTAAATATTATAGTTATATGATGAAAATTGAACAATTAGAAGTCATTCAACCACTTTTTCTTGTCAAATTCATGAACGAAAATACACGGGCAAGAGAAGGTTCAACCCTTTTATTGTTTCTTGATTTTTTTTAAAATTTTATCTATTCAAATTACCTTAATTTAAAATTTAACTTGATAGTTTTTTTAACACCTTCATACATAAATATTGCAATATCAAGGAAACTTTTTAATACCTAGTTCAATGCTTAATTGATGCTTGATTTTGAAAAACAAAACAAAATAAATTTTAGCTAGTTTCAAAACTGCAAGTGAATTTTATTAGGGGATCTCATAGATTGAATGATTTATTCTTTTTAACAATTGAATTTTGCAAGACTATTATGTGATATTTGTATCATTTTCAACAACAAGACTTTCATGTAAACTAATTCATTCACAGGACATTTTATTTGATTGAGAATAATGTTTTGAATGAAAATTTTATATCCACACAAATAATTACTATTAAAAATTGACTAGGAGGTAAAAAATTTATGAGTCTTTCTATCAATTTTTGCTGTTCAGGAGTGAATACAAAACACAACAAAGTTTAGGTGGTAAAATCAGGAATTGTTTTGTTGAGGGGTGTATATATATATATTAAAAACATTTTTAAAAAATCTATTACCATGTTCTAAAAATGCTATTTATATATGAATTATTTTTATTTATAATGCCACTAGCACTGTTTGCAGAGGATAAAATGAGAGAGAGAATTCGATAAATAAAATTAAAAGAAAAGAAAAAAAATTGTAATGTCTCCCTTTTACTTGATAGCATTGAAAATAGAGTAAAAGATGAAAACAAAGCGTTGTAAATGTATCAGAAGTTGAGGTGTTGTTTGATACCAGATATTACAAAATGAAAATGAAAGTTTTTATTATTGTATTGCAAGTATTTGGTCGAAGGCAATTAATAAAATGGGAATAATAATAAAGAATAAGAAATAAAATGAAAATTAAACATGGCTCTATTTATGCATTAAAAACTACTAAAATAACTTAACAGTCTCAGTATCGATGATCTTCAACCTAATTGAATAGTCTTGACTTTATTTGATAGAATTAATTTTAAAATAAAATAAATAGACTTAATATTTAATATCATTATTTAAATTCTCCATTATTTTTTTTAAAAAATAGTCCTTTTTTTCTATCTAGAGAAAAGCATCAAAGTAGCCTTAAAATCTCTTTGTTTTGAAAAAAAAAACTTAATTTTTATATAGAAAATTAAAATAACATTTATTTTCGAATCTTATTACTAAATTTTTTAACTATTTCCATAGAAAAAAATAATTTTATTAAATTGAGATTATTTGAGTTATTTAATTAATTTTATATGAAAAATATGAAGGGAATCTTTAAAAAAACAAGTAACAAACTAATGGATTTGATATCAAATAAAAAATATATTAAAATACAAGGAAAACAAATCTCTTCAATAATTGATTAATGTAATTAATGAAACTGCTATATTTATAAAAGCTTACAATTTCAGGCTGCTTTTTTTTTTTTTCCCCTGAGATGAGATCATTAAATACTTAATAATCGGCATAACCCATGCCCCCATTGATGATCGAACGGGAAGAAAAACTATCTTCTTTGATTACCATTTTCCTTGACTTTTATTAAATTATTTTAAGGGACTGAGCAGTAGATTGATAGTTCGTCGGTCATCATTGACCAGGAAGCCATGGCCATGGCTTCTCTTTACCACGATGAAGCCAACGGAAATCATGGCAGAAATCATGGATTCCTATGTCGAATGAAAAGGACATCAAATCTGGAGTTTTGGCATGAATCTTGTTTAATGATGATATTGAAATCCATTGCAATAACATGTATGAACAAGTACAAGCACACTTGATTATTAATGTTTATTAATGTTATTTTGTTTTTCATCAATTATTATTTAACCAAGACTTTAATATCATTTTTAAGTATAGAAACAGTTTATTTTTGTATTTTGAAAAAATTAAAATTTTTGATTTTTTTAATTAATTTTTTGATTTTTTTATATCTTTTTGACGTAGTAATATTAAAAAAATATTATTATAATATATATTTTAAATAAAAAATACTAAAAAAACCTGTTATCTCAACACCGTGAAACATCCTCTTGCATCCTTGAATTAGGTTTCATTTCATTGTATTGTTTCTACATGTTTGAAATTTATCAATTCACACCTTCAATTCTTGAATTCCAAGTTTCATGAGCATATTTGATGAACCTGAATAAATTATTTTTTTTTACCATTCTCAATTCCAATCAAAATATTATTTAAAATGTGTGTTTGGTATTGTAATGTATAATTTTTTTGACTTAAAGATATATTAAAATATTTTTTATCTAGATTTTTTTATTATTTTTGACATTAATATATTAAAATAATTAAAAATCACTGAAAAAAATAAATTAATATTTATTTAAAAACAAACATATTTTTAAAACACAATCAAAAGCACACTATTAAACAACAAACTTTAATATTTGATCAAGGATGAAATAAAAAATTAAAACCAAATTAAATCATTATAAATTTTTTAGTTTTTTTTTTAAAAAAAAGTTGGTTGAATGATTACAAAGGTTGATGCGGTCAACATCTACCTTCAGAGTTCCAAAAGGTATATTGAATGTGAAAATATCATTTTCATGCACAAACTTTTGGCCAAGAAAACAACCTACTCCATTGTTTCTTTTCTCTTTTCATTTTCTTAATGATAATGACAAGAAGCCTTCATCCAAATAATAACAAAAACATGTATATATTCAATGGTTTGACAAAATTGTCACCTTTCTTTCTCTTTTCCAGACAAGATTACATCATGCTTTTGTTTTGTCAATTGATTATTTGATAAATCCTTTGAAAATGTTTGTATTTTCTTGTTAGATGCATTTATTTGTCATTTAAAATTAAATCGTTTTCTTATTCCATAAAAGTTCCATCAATCTTAGCTTGCTTTTTTTCCCCTTATTTTTCACCACCGTAACCATCATGTTATATTATTACCATTGAATCGAATTTTCATTGTTTTAACCTAGAGTAAGCTAGTTTTTCCAAAACAAATAAAAAAATCTTTTAATCATTCTGTAATATTCTATATTTATGGATGAGGATATAAAGAAGGATGTTATATGAATATTCTTATTATATTAACTACTAAAATTTATTTTGAAATTATGTATTATTGGTAGGAACAAATCTATGAGATTTTATAAGCCAAAATAGATAATATTTTAGTAGTAAGGTGAGATGTTATATTTGATATTCCGACTTATTGACTGTTTTATAATATTAATAGAATCGTCAAACTCTTTAAAAGGATGAATTATAATATTCCATATCGATAAATAAAAATCTGAAAAAGAATTTTAATATTTTTATTTTGATTAATAAGATATATTTTGGAGTTATGTGTGGCTGTCAAAAATAAAATTGTGAAACTCTATAAGTCAAAACGGATAATATTTTGTTAATGGGGTAGGGTGTTACACTTTACCTATATTTTTGACATTTTTTTTAGTATAACCCCTATACTATTTTTTAATTATGCAGTTCCTTTGCTGTAGATTTTTTTTTTAAATATGATTCTTATAATGCAAATTTAATAGAAATTTTTATAATAAATGAGATTTTTTTTTAATCTAGCATAGAATAAATGAGATTTTTTTTTAATCTAGCATGCATAAAAAAAAATATTTTTCAGATTAGCACAGCTATAATTTTTTCTCTTCAAAGTAGCAAGATTTAACTAGTTACGCAAATCTCGCTTGTGTAACTTTCAGACTCGCAGGAAATGCCCAAAAAGCCTCTTTTATTTTTTTACTAGCCCATTTCTTTATTTGTTCCCTTGATTTTTATATTTATTTAACTCTAGTTCTATTATTATAATCATTTTATCTGTTATCTTTGCACAATTATTTTTTTAAACTAAAGCTAATATTTGTTTGCGAACACTACTGCCAAAAACAGTTAATGTTTGTCCAAAAAATTATTATTTTTTACCCAACTTAAATAAAAATAAGTTTAATAAATTTAGTGTTTTTTATATTTTTTTTCTTTATGGGGTTTTACTATTTTCTGAATAAAGAAAAGATATGAACAGCACAACATTTGTTTATTTTTTTATCAATGTAAAAAATTAAAAAAATTATTTTCTAGTCAGTTCCACAAGTTTAATTTTTATTATAAATAAAATATAATATTATATTATTTTTGTTAACAATATACAACTTTTATGATAATGCTGAATTTAAATAAAATAAAAAATATATTTTACAGCCAGATTATTATGAATACAATAATATTAAGATTGTTATTATTTAAATTATGGTTTTGATTTCTTATGAAAAATATTAAAATATTGATTTATTTATTTTTTAATTCGTCTCTATTCTTAACAAATAAACACATTGTTTAATTTTTTTAATTAAAAAATAGAAATGAAAAATAAAATTTGGCGGGCGGTGAACAACTAAACACATGCCTGTGGACAATATTTCAAGCAAAATGCATGTTTACCATTTTCTAAAACCCAGCCCAACCTATACGGGCCACGAATGGTTGGAAGACCCAATAACCCAAACGGAGCCCAACTAAAACAGCTGAACCGGACCGTTCCTTATGATATAGAGCATTATCCAAAAAGTCTAAACGACAGGTTTTTAGCAAATCCTTAAAACCCTAAAACATGAAGACGGTGACCGGCGAGATCACGGATTCAACTCCGGTGACAATCGCCAAAGCGGCCTCTATCCTGTCCAAGTTCGTCTCCACCGACACCGGCGCATCCCAGGCCTTAAATGCTTATCTTCGTCGCACCGCCGCCGCTTTCGATGAGTTGGCACGCCTTCATTCAAAATTCGATCGCAGGAAACACAAAAGGGATTCAGCTCAGATTCAGAGAGTGGAGGCGAGTCAATCCGGGCTAGTGAATAATAACGAGCAGAGATTGAAAAAGGAGGTCAATGTAGAGGGTAATGCGGCAGAGGAGGAGACAGAGAGGAAGAGGAGGAGGAGGAGGAGGAAGGGTGATTTGGAAGAGGAAACCGAGAGAAGCAATGAAGTAAAGAAGGAAAAGACAGAGTTTGAAGAGAACGAGGGTAAAGTGGTGGGCAGAGTTGATATCAAAGTAGAAGAGGAAATGAAGAAGAAGAAGAAGAAGAGGAAGAGTGGAGAAGTAGAGGTAGAGTTAAAGGTAAAGGAGGAGGAGAGGGAAGGGAAGGATAGATTGAAAGATGAGGGCCAAAGGAAAACGAAGAAGAGGAGAAAACATGAAGATGAAAACTGAGCTAAAAAAGAGTTTGCGTTTTTTTTCTTCGATAATTGCATGTTTCAATGACTGGTGGCATTGAGGTTTACTAATTTCCAGCTATATCCATGCTCTTACATATTTCAGTTGTCGTTGAACTTCATAGATTGCTTGGAAAATTTTGCATTTTTAGAAGTGATTATAATTCTTAAAGCATAAACCACTATGCTGAGCATCATACTGAAGCTGATATTGCCTGATGGTTTGTGCATGCTGTTAAAAGCAGACCCTGTATAATTCTAAAACTAGCCAGGTGTGGTGGGCATCAGCACCCTTGCTGGGTCAACTCATTCAACCTGGCGGTGCATTTTCTTTGCCCATCTGGGTGGGCTATACACGCTTCCAGTTAGTAGAGTGGTGAGTTTTACTTTTTCGAAAAAACAAACAAACAAACAGTTCTTGTGGTCTTGTTCCCGGGTTCTTATGATTGCTATTGCTTTGCTTTTGGATGTTTTGCAATCTAACTTTGCTCTCTGTTCTTTTGTTAAATTGAGTTGATTAGATTGCATTATCCTTCCAAGGAAATTGAGTAATTTAGCTAACTACTCTATGCATCAGCCTTATCTTCTTTGATTTATGTTTGGTTGCTGAGACAAATGAGGAAACGAAAACTGAAGTTCAATGCTTTCTTAAAGAAAAATATGTAAGACGGTTCTCTACTTTGTTTCAGAGGTTTTGTGCCAGTATTAGAGATGTTGACAGTGAACGTGCTGCCCAACAGGATTGCAGCAATGGAACTGGTTTGTGGGGAGAAATCAGGTTTTGAATCTTGGAAGGGACTTGCCTGGGGTATAGAGACTTGCCGGTTTATTGACTTGTTGTCTGCCGCTATCATATCAATTTTTCTTAAAATGTTAGGAAAATAGTTAAGAGTTTGGAGAATTTTGATGGCAGCATAAGTAAACGGATAATTGATACAAATATGATTAGAATTTGTTTTTTTTAAAAAAATTAATACAATGATGAATTGGATTAATTTCAGTATCCAGTAATGAATTTTATTGAGTTTAATAGTTTTTTTATTTAATTATATAATCAAAATATATATTTTTAAAGCTAAACACTAACTTCAAAATAGATATTTACTTGAACTTCTATAAAAAGATAAATAAAAAATAAATCATGCAATTTATTTTCTAATTAATTTAATATTAAAAAATAAAATTAAAAAAATTAAAAACATATTCAGTTAGTAAATAAACTTGTCAAATTTACGAACTGAGTTATCAACTTCATTACAATTATAATTTATGTTTTAAAATTTTATTTATTTAATTAAATAATAATAAAAATAAAAGATTGTAGAATCGAACACTAATTATAGAATTCAACACTGATCCAATATTGAGATTTGGAATAAATATTATATTTAAAAATGAAATAAAAAAATAAAAAGTTAGCTCGACAAATCAAGTCAACCAACTAAATTTATGAACAAGTTTAAAAACTTATAAAGTTTAATAAAAATTTTAAATTTTTTTTTAAATATATATATAAAAAATAAATGATAATAAAATTAAATTTAATTAAAAAATCCATCAAACTCATAAATTAAGGAACCACAAAGTGTGTTAGCTCTTTAAAAAAATAAAAAAATAAATTATAAAAACTAAATTTTCAACCATTCTAATATTAAAAGATAAAATTAAAAAATTAAAAAAATAATAATAAAAAAACAAAAAAACAAAAAAAACAAAACACCATAAATTACTGTTATAACCTACAATAAAATAAAATAGGTGTAGATTAACAGTAAATCTTCCATACCCTTTAATTTTTGTTAATAATTAATGATTTGCTATTCTGGTGATTGGATGTTGGTGTGTTTAAAAGTGGTGAAGCAATGAAGGCTGTCTTTGATGAAATTCTACATTTTGTTGTTTGCAAACCAGGAATTGTATGAATTACTTTGCCATGTCCTTATGGTTTTCAAGATTGTAATGATTGAAAGGTAATCACTCCAAGTTGCTGTAGGATTTGAAGGCACAAATTCACAGACTAGAACAAAAAAGAATTATGCAACTCTGTTGTCGCTGCAGCAAGTTGGTACCTTGTTTGATTTCATAAATCCAAAATGTCTCCTCGAGGCAATTCAAGACTGATTTCATGATTGTTATTATTACTTTATCATGTTGAGTGACTTCGAGGTTCTTTTCGAGTCTTCTCTTGATACAGACAATAACATAGAAATCTTGATTATGCTAATAAACATGTTCTTCCTCATGAATATGTTCAAGACCTTAAGGTGATAAAATATATTGTATAGACTGTTGCACTGGCATGAACTATCCTTTTGAGACCTGAACTTATTGTAGCCAATTCGGATTTTGTTTATTGATTTTCTATTGTTTACAATCACAGAAGTTGTAAGAATCTTGCATTTAGTTTACTTGGGAGATCAGTTCCTTTGGGAGGTCAGTTCCAACGACAAATGTGATAGGAAATGCTCTTAGATATGCAGGCAATGTCCACACTGTTCGCTTGCATTGATTTCATACTCAGACTACAGCTTTTTGTAGAGATTGCTTTATTGTTTGGGATTGTTCTATATCTATCATTCAAGTCAAATCTGGACACTGTTTATTTCTAAATTTCTCACTCTAGCGATATTCTATTGATTTTTTCCTTCTGTTTTTCATACTCTCAGAGCTTTTCCGTGGCCCATCCCATCATATTGCTATGACCATTCAAGTATTTCACTCACTGCAGTGCCGAATTCTTTACACGCATCCACAGACCATGATTATGATTTTTGTCAGGCCCATCCAACTTCTGTAGAGCATTTCGAATATCATTGCCACCTTATTGTAATACAATTAACAGTTTATCTCTTGTTCTTTCCTCCCGGATGGATATAGAATATAGAAAATACCGTCTTTTTCCCGAGCTGTAGGTCTTAGTGAGCTCTTCAAGCTGCACGGACAGTAATAGGTAATGCCACTATGCGCAGCGCTGCATTCTGTATATACAAGCTATCAAAGGAATGCCCGAGGAATCTCTCGCAGTTTCAAAACCTGCACGCAATATTATCTTCCTGAAAGTAAACTCTATGTTTTCCAGTTGTTGGGTGCGACAACTTTCCTTGATAATGGTTGGCTTCCAGTTGAAGTTCTGTTTTTGCAAAACATTATATGTGTTAATTGTTGTTGTTTGCTCTTTTCTTTTTTCTTCAAGGAAATCGGATGAGACATGCTATGCTGGGAACCCTTACAAGTTGCAATTCATGACAAAAATGGATTTTCTCAAGAGCTAGAAGCTGGGTTTAGTTTTCTGTCACACCTAAAGGAGCTCGAAAATACAGGGAAAAAAAAAATCCATATCCATCATTTGAAAGTTTTCTGTCAGGGCCAGTAACTATACGGCGTGGGAGCCCAGTTCTACACTCTTCAAAGATGAACTGTGCCGCAGGATTGATACGTATTGTGGTTACAGGGGTCACGACTCATGACAGGTGTTTACGACAGAGGATCGCACTGTCGAACCCTTGCATGAACCTTCTGAATGCAAGAAGGTTGAACTGTATCGTCTTCGGGTCTTCTTCCCTAGCTAGCCGACCCATAACTTTCCATTCTGATATCCTATGACTTCGGTACCCTGTTCCATTTTCCAAAAATACTATCTGTTTCGATAATTTTATGATGCCATTTCAGAGCAATGGCTTCAATACTAGAAGACACGTGGTTTCAAAGCAATGGCTTCAATACTAGAAGACACGTGGTTTGCGACCAAGAAGGGATTCAGACCAATCCTGCTTCTAGGATTCTGCTTGCAATAAAAGTAGTGTTCCAATGCAGGATCAGCTGAATGGTTTGGCGTGATGACCGCTGGGCTGTTTTGTTTCTAGCTACTTGCAACACCAAACTTCGCAGTTTGTTCAATGAAACTAAACAATGCACCAGATGTTTACAGTAATCAATCTCTTCTAGACATGTAATCATTTCTTGCAATATCCAACAAGAAGCTTTATAAGATTGATGGCATCACTAACATGAAATATAAAAACCTAATGAACTCATTTTTCTCACATTTACATTTTCTTGAGTTCTTAGGTAACTTAACAAAAACCCTAATACTTAAAAAATGCTTTTCCAGTTGATTCTCAACCCATTTGATTGCTGTTACTTGAAATACCACTTGACAAATTGCTATGGACAAAGGAGCTTGCCTATCAGAAGCAAAAACAAGAAAACCGCTTCTCTTTCAGAGTGAATGTAGCTCACATCAATGATGTCTCTCTTATCCCTGTACAAGAAAAAAACAAAGAACAAATTTAACACATCAAATAGAATAATAGCAAACCCAGCAGAGTGAATGATCAAAAGATATACATGTCTTCTCCTTCGGCTTTGCACAATGTACCAAGAGCGGGCCATCACATAGCATGGCAAAAGAAAACCAGCAAATTGAAGAAGCGAAACCTGAAACTGAAAGTCAAATATCAAAATTTTGATAGTATACTGGGATCGAGTTAATCCACCTGACTTTGGTTTGTGTAGTGCATAAACCTGTACATTCACAAATGTATCTGAACTATAACGGGCATCATAGACTTACACTGAAGAAAGTTGATGATTCTTGCACCATCCCTGAATCCCTTGTAACCATTAGAGCTTGGCGGAGCAGCAAAATTATAAGCAACTGCACATAATGGTGACCAAAATTAGCTTGTAAGCACATAAAAGCATTGATACACATAAGAAAATTGTTCAGATACAGTTTGCTTACAATGAGAGCAACAGATCGAAGACAAGCAATGCTGCTTGTATTGGCAACAGCATAATCCTCGTACTCTGATTGTAGCAATTGATGCTCGAGAGCTAGAAGATGAGAATCATGCAGATCAATGTGGTGGCCCCATGCTTGCCTGTTAGCAATGTAGAAAAACATATAAAACTTCAAAGAGATTTTGCTAGGATGCAGAAAATATGCTGAAAAGATAATTAAAAACAAAATAAAAAAAAGGGGAAATTTTTGGAAGCTGCAGCAATATATAGAAACTCAAAGCATATTACGCATGAATAAGGCAAGCAAGGGATTGCAAAGCTATCATAGGCCACAATCATCACTATCCGATTGATCTTGGTGGTGTTGGTGTCAGCGTTAATAGCTTCATAGTACTGAGTGAACCCTTTCAACACAGAACTGGATCCTAATCTTCTTTCTTTAATTTCAAATACCTGATTCAATGAAATAAGTTTTTTCCTTCATGCCATTTTCCAACAAGAACGCAAATGTTGAAACCACGTTACCTTCAGGGGGCATCAAATTTGCCATAACTTGCTAAAATCATTTGTGTTAATTTCACTGTTAAAGAAAATTTGAAATCATATTCACTAAGAATTGTTAGGAGGAGGTAGAGCTGATTGGGCCAATTTTAATCGAGCCGAAGGGTAGCTGGCTAGGGCACCGTAAGAAGCAATAGATTTTCTATAATGGTAGTATCTATTTGATCATTTGTCCTATGATCTTTCCCTGCTATTTCTCAGACTCTCGGTCACATATGCATGATGGAGAATCCAGTAGTTACTAGTTACCTTATATCAATTGCCATAACATCAGGATTGATGCGGGCTGGTGGAAGGGAATAATTTGGTGAGAAAACCTGCCAACCAGAAAGCACATTTATACAAAATCATGCATTGACATGTCTTCTAGAAATGTATCACATTTACAAAAAAGTAGTTCACAGGCTGGTGGAAAGGGAAACCTTTACCTGATTACAGATTTCGCAGGTAATGTCACCTTTTTTGTTGCACCATCTCTGAATGCATTTCCTGTGAGCAAACTGCAAGTGACACTGATAAACATCAGTGGAAATAGAATACATGGGTCACCAGTAAAGACTACGAAAAAGCTACAGCAGACAGTTGTTAGACTGCATTTTTTGAATGTTGAAGATGATGATTAGTATAAGGGGAACTACATGCCACATATAAAAGAACAACGTTTACTAACAAGCACAAAAGGGATGCAACCTATTTACAAAAACAAAAGGAAACAACAGAATTCTGTTCTCTAAACCAGATGCAAGTTGTGGTGTATCTAAAATACAAGCCAGTTCCTCTACCCCATGCCCCAAAACCTTTCCTCTTTTTCTCCTACGTGATAGCCAAAACCCAGCTAGAAAGCATAAGAAAATAATGCATCTCTTATCTATACTTGATCACACACCCTTCCCAACCCAAAACCATCCTTCAATATCGGATATCTTAAAAATAAAGGTAAGATATCATAAGCAACCAACATCTCTAAGCATAGTATAACATCAAAATTCTATTATATCCAAAATGCATCAACTCTATCAAATTATAATGCATCCTTGTTAATCACAATCAGATGAAGAACTTTAAGATAAATTATTTCCATTTGTCCTTCTTACTGCAGATCAATGCGAAAAATGTGTTTCCTTCTTCCTGGGTTGGTTTATTGCATAGAAAAAGAAAAGGCACATACAATTTCTATGAAGTAAGGAATTGGTGGCTCAACAGAATAAACTTGTTAGAAAACCTGTTGAAAAACAGGGAACTTTTAACAAAATAAAGTACGGAAAATACTAGTCCCTTCTTTCATACCAAAAAATTAAGTCTTTTCTCAAAAATCTATTTAAGCTTCCAAGCTAACAAGGAAATCCAGGTAAATTACATCTTAATATTCACATTTATTATAAAATATAGACTCGATTTAAAACCTCTTGTCAGTTTATCATCAAGAAACATTTCTTCCACTCGTCTTCCCCGTTAATCAACAGTGTTTAGAAAATAAAATTACGCGTAAAAAGAGGAGGTCAGCTTTTCAACAAGCACGTCTGCTCATTAAATGCGCACACCTGTCAACACCTAAATATCATACACAAAGGTACAAGTAGCTAATAATATGCCAAAAAAAATAAATCCCAACTTTAAAAATACAAAACATAACCGATTCTCGAAGCATCATCACGTTCACAAATTTGAAGTGCAAATTTAGAAAGTAAAATTATATAAACCCAAGACAGGGAAAGACCTTGATATTTGTGTATCACTACAAAAATAAAGCGACAGAAATACCTCCATTTCCGAGTCCTGTGAACCACGAAGAGAGAGGGAGGGGGGAAGAGAGAGAGTTAAATGAAAAACCAGAAGGCACACCAGAAGAATCAACAAAAATCTCAGAACCCGAGAAACCAACATCCCAAAAGCATAAAACAACAGCCTCATTTCCTCACCAAAAACAAAGAACACAGCTTTTGACTTAAGAAGAAGGAAAAATAAAGGAGAGAATCCATTCAAAAATCAAAATCCACGAACACGTTAGCAAAAAAATTTAAAAACTCACAACCAAAAAAACCAATAAATAACAAAAAAAAAATACAACAATGAACAAACTAAAAAAAGGTGGGAGAATAAATTAAAAACCCATGAGAGAAAAGTAAAGACCTTGAGGGTGCCATTACAAGCACAAGGAGCTTCCATAGCAAGAACCTCAGCTTCCTCTTGACATATCCTACACTCAACCATCCCTACTTTCTTCAGAGAACATGAAGACCCTTCTTCATTTCCTTTCACAGAAACAACACTCTCACTCACATTACCATCCTTACTTGTTGCTCCGATACCAACACCAACACCATCACTTCTATTCCTGTCTCTTTCTCCATTATGAACTGGCTCAAAACAAGTTGAGGCTGCTATGATTCTGTCTATACACACCATGAAATCATCAACCATCTCTCTCTATAATGCGTGTTGATGTTTTGATAGTCTCTCTTTAGTTCTTCCTGGCTTGTGCTTCTCTCTCAAGAAGTGGAGGAACATAAAAGGAGAGAGAGGAGAGAGTGGGGCATTGAAAAGGTTAAGATTTTGTGGGGGAGGAAATTACGAAATTGACCTCGTCTTTTATTTCTGGACTTAAGTGGACCTGGTCTTATGGTTTAATTACATTTTTGCCTGAAAACATAAAGTTTCGTGGGGGGCGGAATTTACGAAATAGACCTCGTCTTTTATTTCTGGACTTAAGTGTACCTGGTCGTCGGGTTTAATTACATTTTTGCCCAAGAGAATTTGTTCAGGGAGGGTATTAACTGCTGCTTGCCTGACATGAAATGTGTAAAAGTTTTTATGGTGCAGTAAATTGTAATAACTGTCAATTATTCCTCGGATTCATATTGAGGAAATATATATATATATATATATATATAATTAAACTTATAATTTATTAAAAATAATAAAAATGTTTCTATCTAAGATTTTTTTTTCTCTTTAAGTTTTCTTTTTGTTGAGCCGTGGCTGGATAATTACACTGAGCATTGGATAGTAAAAATAAAATGAAAAAAATAATTAAATTACATTATAAATAAAAGAAATAAATAATTTGATGGGGAGGATTTGTTGAGAAAAATAGTACATTTTAGCATAATAATTTGGTTATTGTCATGGTATAAAAGGAATAAATATAAAAAAAGAGTATTTAGTTAAAGAGATAAATATAGAAAATAAATATATTTTAGAGTAAATTTAAGTATAGAAATATTATCACTTATATTTTTACCGATTTTAATACTGAGAAAGTAATTAAATGTTGCCTGGCATTTTTAAAGAGAAATATGGGCAACTTATAAGAATATTTTTTTTATTTAAAAAATATTTTAAATTTTAAAATATATTAAAATAATATTTTCAGATTATTTTTATATTTTATACTAGTATATCAAAACTTTTGAAAAATATTAAAAAATATTAATTTAATATTTTTTAAAATTAAATAGATTTTTTAAATTCACTAAAACACAACTTTAAATTAAAATAAATAAATAAAAATTAATGTCCAGGAGTTGAGGTGGCTGGGCACTCAAAACCATAATGGATATGTGGTATGTGTAAGATATGTAGATAGATTCATGTTAGGAATTGTGATGATTTGATAATTAATATACTATAATGTATTTATTAGTAGATATGTTAATATAGTATGTTAATATTCTAACTTATCAACTATTATATTTGTTAATATGATAATTTTAATATATTGTATGTGATTTCGAGATTGGTATCCTTAATCATTATATTGTATGTGATTTCGAGATTTCGAGAATATTAATTTAAACAATTTTTATGACGTCTTCACAAGGAGTTCATACCATTGAGCAATGCATCGATCAAATTCTCTTAATGTTCGAGCAAGTATCAACTAATAATTTGTCTTGGAGATTTTATAGTAGTTGAATTTCTGTTTTTTTCTTTCTGTTTTTTTACTGCCAGGATACGTGGAATTGGATGTTGATTAGGTAACAATGAAACGTTGCCTTACTTTGATTTCAGGCTGTGTTTGGAATGGTTTGCACTGTATTTTTTGATTTTTTTATATATTTTTGATTATTTTAATATGCTAACATTAAAAATAATTTTTTAAAATTTAAAAAAATTATTTTAATATATTTCAATATAAAAAAATATTTTAAATTACTACTGTTACTACACTCTCAAGACCCTAAATAATTAGTTATCAATATATATAGTTATATTTAGGAGAGCGTTTGGAACGCAGTATCCAAAAAAAAATTTTTTTTGTATGTTTTAGATCGTTTTGATATGCTAATTTTAAAAATATTTTTTAAAATAAAAAATTTATTTTAATATATTTTAACACGAAATTTTTTTTAAAAAGTAACCACAATCACATTCCAAAACAGATATATTAGTGGTAGCCTTTATTGTTGGGTGTTTTTTTAAAATATATTTATTTTAAAAAGTATTTTTTAGTTTTTTAATATATTGATGTTAGCAATAAAAATATTTTAATATAAAAAATATCATTACATAATTAATACCGAATCATTGTGAAAGGGCGAATGTAATAAACAAACACACCAGACATTGAAAAAAATACAACAAAAATTTCACCCACTTGTTTCTATCCTATTTTTACTACAAACTTCTTTAAATGATTACTTATGATACAATTTGTTATATGTTATTTACTACAATTAGCACAATTATTATGATAGATATTCTTGGCTAGTGTTTTAAGATAAAATAAACAAATATAAAAAGAAATAAAAACATATTTAATTAAAAACAAAAAAATATTTTTGAAACCAATTTTAAATACAGTAATAAAACGTTACCGTATTTATTGTAGATTCATAAAAAACACCTAACAATTTTACAGGTACGTTGATCTACCAAATCAGTTCAAAGGAGAGGCAAGCATGTGTGATTGATCATGAAAGGGATGAATATTATACATTCTCAGCTTAATGTTTACAACATGTTTTCAAGAAACACTTTTTTTTTTCTCCATGAATTCTCAAATTATTTTTTTTATTAAATTTTAGATATATCTCCTAAGAATATTTTCTATATTAGTGGTCTTTAAAGCTTTACATTAATCTCAGTATAATTCCATTCGAGATTATTTTTTAAAGTTTTTTTATGAAATAATATTTTTATTTTTATTTTTTAATATTAATATATTAAAATAATTAAAAAATATAAAAAATAATTAAAAAAATACAACTAAACCGCAATACTAAACAAGATTTAAATTTGTAAATAATTCCCACCGCATGAGTGGAAAAAAAAAAAAACTTTTGGTACATGACAAGATTTGAAGATGAGATGGTGACGTATGCATTATATTTAAGAGTCTTTTTATATTAAAAATAACAAGGAGGATACTAAAACCTAGAACTAAGCAATGTTGTCGAGGGAATTAGGGAAAAGAAAAGGCAATGAAACAATGTCACATGATGATATTCTGCTTCCACCATTGTCTTTGCCTGGTTTCTCAAAGCAACGAAAGGTTACAAGACAAAAGCACAATGCTTATTTGGTATCTATGGCTATTCAATCCCATTGCCTCTTACTTTTTAATTGTTGCCAAACTTGGTTAATGAGCTTTTTATTTTTAACATTACCAATTTAATTGAATTTTAAGTTCAGCTAGTACGTGAATAAACCCTTTTAAATGAGGAGTATGATTATAGTTTTTTTTCAGAAAAAAATTTATACTGAAATGTATCAAAATAATTTTTTTATTTTTTAAAAATAACTTTTAAAATCAGTACATCAAAATAATCAAAAATATATAAAAAAAATAAATTTTTAAGAACACGGTTTGCTATTTTGATGATTTTTTATATCAAAATGATTTAATTTTATACATTTGTTATTGTGATATATAGTTTTTTATTTAAAAATATATTAAAATAATTTATATTCGTGTTTTAATATTAATATATTAAAATAGCTAGAAAACATTATAAAAACACTAACATTTAATGGTTTTTAAGAAAAATACACTTTTAAAACACATTAAAAACAAAAGTTAACGTGCTCCCACACATTTGTATAGAAAAAAACTTGATAGAAGAGTTTTTTTTATAAATACATTATTTTTTTTTATATATAATGATATATTTAATATCTAAAAAAAAATCTTGATAAAAAAAACTTAAGTATGATACATCTTGATTGTTTTTTTCCATCAAGAATTCAATACATATCTTGAGCTACACAAGCAGAACATCTCTTTTGCATTCCACCATCGTCACGCTTTGAGCCGCGTAAGTCACGTGTTAAATGAATAATACTAGGTCTTTATGTTCTTTTTTTTTAAAAAAAAAATTATGGAAGGATAGTATTAATTATTGTTATTTAATTCCCGGTTATCCGACAAATCTAGAACCTAGTTGGAGTTAAAAAAAATAAAAAAAATAACATTCATAAAAAACCTATGTTATTTATTTTATAACCTAGTTAGTTTTAGTAAAACCTAAATTTTTATTTATCAAAATAATATTATTTTAACTTTCTTTTAAAACCTTCCAGTCTCGTAACCTCAGCCTTGTTATCTAGGATCCGCTCTTAAAGCTTTGGTATTAACGACAATTAAACCTATTTTTAATGAAGACGTGTCGTGAAAATTCAAAACTCGACATTGATGCTTGCTGCGTTTTACAGGCTGTTTTGATGTTCATAGCATCTTTTAATGCAGGCTGAAGGTCGGATTATCAACAGAGATACCGAATCCCTAAAAAATGCTGGCCGTGCGAGACCTTTGCCTCTCTTTTTTTAAAGGATTTCACTCACCAAACGTCTGTTTTAATGCTAAGAAACTCCCGAGCAGCACCAAGCGATCATCAACGAACAAGAAAGACAAATGGACTGTTGTTTATACTTTTTATGTGGTTTTGCGTGGAGAGTAGAAAGCTATCTGCTTCCATTCGGGCACGTATTTTCTGGTGCATGTCTCCATCAAGACAGCTCCGGGCAAGCAGCACTCTCATCATGCCATTGCCATTGTTGTTGTTTTTTCTTTTCATGGAGAAACCTTCGACATCATGCCTTCAAAACTAAACCTTGTTGTTTTTGGACTTTAAAGCATTCTTGTCTGCCAAATAATATCGCCTTGGTGGGCATTACTAGTGGTTACAACTTCTACCCAAATTAGGGTCGACAATATTTGGATTTGCCCCACTAAGTTTTCGTGGTTGGGTGAGAGTTTGGAACTGCAGGTTAATGTTTTTATTAAAAATTAATTTATTTTATATGTTTTGAATTGTTTCAATGTACTAATCTTAAAAATATTTTTTTAAAAATCTGTTTTGAATTGTTTTAATGTACTAATCTTAAAAGTATTTTTAAAAAAATAAAAAAAATATTATTTAAATATATCTCAATATAAAAAATACTTTAAAAAACAATCACAAATGTAAAAAATACTTTAAAAAACAATCACAATTACAACCATAGTCCCAAATAAACTCTCAAATAATCAAAAATTTAATTTTTATTTTTTAAAAATAAAAAAATTATTTTTTAGTATACTTTT